CCCCAAAACCCCAAAACCCCAAAACCCCAAAACCCCTTCCAATTTCATTAAAATTGAAACAACTTTATTGCCTACCCTGTGTGGGTATTCTTCAACCATTTGCTTTCAAGTACTTGCTTTATCGTAGATCTTTTTCTTGGGTTTACTCATAATCAAGCCTTCACCATAGCTTGAGCTTCAGGTGAAATTTGAATCTCAGAAGGCCAGTAATACCTTCCGTAGGAAATTTTATTTATAAAGGTCTCTCTCATTATATCCTCTGAAGGGAAACTTCCCTCATAAAATGACGTATCAGAGGACTCCGAAGGCCCACATGTCAACTGGAGGGCCTGCATATTCCTTCTTCTCAACTATTTCGGGGGACATATAGCTTGGAGTACCTCAGAAGATCTTAAGTTTCTTCTCATATCCAGAAGTGATGCTAAATCCAAAGTCGATAAGTGTGATCTTCCCTGTAGTTGAATTAATTATCAAATTTTCCAGCTTCATGTCTCTATGGGCTACGTTATTACTGTGAACATATTCTATGGCTGTAGCTATCTGGAGGATAACATCCTTGGCTTCATCCTCAGGAAGTCTCTTGCCAGACTTCTCCTTCAGGTACTGATACAGTGATTTTCCTTTTATATGCTCCATGATAATGTAGATTGAATGCGGATTATCAAAAGATGTGATCATTTTTACGATATTCGGATGGCTAATTTTCTTCATTATAGCGATTTCCCTAGTCACTGACTTTCTCCGAGCAGGGTCAGTCAGCTTATATTTCTCGTAGATCTTCATAGCATGGTGTCTTTTGGTTGTTTTATCGACAGCCATTCTGACAACAGCATAAGCTCCCTTGCCGATCTGTCTGCCCATTTTATAATCTTTGATAGTTTTATTTCTCTCATAACTGCTCACACGATTTTTGTATTCCAGGTTAGAAGCAGCAATTATTCTATTGTCAGATTCGGAGCGGTTACGGATCTCTTTGAGGCTAGCTTTGCGCATCACCTTCTCTTTGAGCATCAAATCTTGCATTACTGTTGGAACTTTGGGTCAATTGCTCGGAATCTGTACTGGAGCTGGGTTAGGAGCGCTAGGCTGTTTTTCCAAGGCAAAGTTAGGTCCAATTACTTTGGTTAGAGTCCCATCGAGATTCTCACCATCTTTGTAGCTAAACAAGTCTGATATCTTTGGCTTATGCTTGCTGACCTTCTTGTACTTGTCTGAAGAGTTAGCCTTTATGGCTAAATCTGACATACATTTTGTTGTTGTAGAGCAGTTGAATTCTCGATGGATAATCTCAAGTGCTTTGTTTTTCTCTTTACCCTTCTCATTGGCGTAACTCTTACGATGTGATACTGGCTTTGTTTCTAGAGAGACTTCTGCGGTCGTCTGATTGCATGAAGTGTTTTTGGTGAAAGTACCCTCTAAAAAAAGAACATTTGTTTGAATACTAGCAGAAAATATGAAAAATCTAATTCTCTCCTATGAGTTATGGCAAAGCATAATTAGCTGGGAATAACTGAGAGCATCATGATCCAAGATTTCTTAGCACAAGGTAAGCCAATAATTTACTAAAAAATATGTTCACCTAAAATCTATAATCTGACTCTATCTACATCATTGAGCATTCTGTGAGGCCTAAGATAGCCCATTAAAGCCTAATTTCAAGCATACTAATTTCTAAATTCACCTGTAAATGGCTTTGGGCTTTATCTCAGCTCAAATCTACAAGTCAAAGTTATATATCTGGGTTTGGAAAACAAAGCCAACACCCCATTTGTGGAGTTGGCTACCCACCTCCTTTACACAGAGAATGTGCCCACTACTGAGACAAAGACTTCGCTCCAGGAGCTTATGAGTTTTAGAGATATCTAAACCGATTTTGAGGATGCTGTATCTGGCATTTCCCAGTACATTTCTACTAAAAAGTTACCTATATAGCAATAGATTATTAAAACTAAGCTTGGATTGTTATAATAGGAAAAATAAGAGGAAAAATAGTAACCAAAGAAGGCTTAAAGCCAGTGTTTCAAACCTGCAGTCTTGGAGTTATAATCTATATTCTTGATAAATGTTTCATTCGAGGAAACTGTCTTGTTCACTGCAGTAGTGATGGTCGGATAAAAGGTATGATGATAGTTCACCCCTTCTGATTCGGAGTTGTTAAGCAAGTTATGCCTATACCCAATCTGCCTTGTATTCGTCTTCTTCATCTTATGAGGGATATAGACTCTATTATGAAAGAATGGGGCTTTTTGCAATGCATCATAACGCTTCCCAAGCGCTTTAGGCTTAGTTGCATTCCTTTTCTGGTGCTTTATGCGAAACTGGTTGTCACCACTGCTTGTGTAAGGCCTCTGCTTTGCTCTGGGCTCGATATACTTGGTCTCCAACTTCATTCTCTCTACAAAGTCATCAAAGGTTTCTTTAGAGCCAAGTCGAGCAATCCTCTTGGACGTATTGGCTCCTTTACGTTCAGAGATAGCTGATTTTTGAGCCTTTCTCTCTCTTTCTCTCTGAATTTGCCTTATAGGCTTGATATTAGCAGCATGGCTGGAAGTGTAGCTCTTAATGGGCAAGTAAGAAGGCAACGGTCTGTTCTGTTCCCTCTCAGCTTTCATTGACTTCTTACCACAACGACGAGAGTTCTTGACACTAATAGCTCTAGAGCTGGCCTTCTTAGCTTTGAAGGCTTCAAACTCAGAATCATTGATTGTGTCTTGAGAAGACTGTATTTTCATCTGATTATTTCTTGTTTCGTCCTTGCTCGTATCTAAAAGAGAACCATTGAGTTTAATGCCTTGCTAATCATTCCCATTAGAAATGGTTTTAACAGAAGGGGATAGATACTATACCTTTATTCATCTCAAACTGGTCTCTCTTCGGACTTAATCTTTTGGCTTTTGAATAGAGGTTGGACTGCCTAGCATCAGTGTCTAAGAGTATTTGAGGAGTCCATAAGTTAAATTCTAAATCCGAAGTTAGGTTATTACTGATGGGTCACTGAACATGAGGCTTAGTCACTTTTAGGCCTTCATGGAGAAGTTTTGAACTTACTTGTTGTCATCTTAGCTATCGAACTATTTTATTTAAATTCATTTTGAAATAAATTTAAAGGGGTTTTGGGGTTTTGGGGTTTTGGGGTTTTGGGGTTTTGGGG